AAGGAAAAAAGGACAGGGATCAAGGCAACAGAAGATGGCGATTGACGTTGAATTTGAAGAGTTTAGTTATCTGGGAAGCAAGTAAGAGGAAGGGAACTTCAATGTCGGGAAGTACAAGGAAAGAAACCCTTGGAGTAGAAGTGGCGGTTAGATCTAACTATTTCAGCAGTAAAAAGGTGGGACCTAGATGCCAATCTAGTAGTTCTCCAGCAAAATAATTTTCTCGCGTTAACTGTTTCTTCTTTTCCTAGGATTGATAGGAGTTTCCTTCCTAACCTTTTGTTTAATGTAGTGTGGAAAGTCAACATATTGATTATATATATTATATTATTCTCCCTTCTAGTTATATGTTCTGCCCATTTTATTTGTTGCTGCTGTTGGAAATCTTCAAATGATGCAGTTCTTGTTATTTGGTAAAGTTCTTTGTTTGGGTTTCTGTCGTTCTATAAGATCTGATGACTGATTGATGGAATCTGTGGAGAGCATTGATCGCCTAAATCTTGACGGGACAACGCATTAACCTGTTTCATTTGTGGGAGATTGCGTTATAATGCATGTTCATTGATATTGATATCTGTGTTGGGCTGGCCATGTGGCAAGGATGAGTGATGATCGTATATCAAAAGTTCTTTTCTACAGTGAACTCTATAATGGTCATAGAAATGTTGGTAGACCTTGGCTCAGGTATACAGATAAACTGAAGAGCAATCTTTCTTGTGGCAACATTCCATTCAAGAACTTTGAAGAGGTACCTATGAAGAGATCAGGGTAGCGTTCCAGCTGCCATTCATTTATTTTGCTGCAATATTTACTTTCACATAATAATGCCCCACCAAGAAGTCAGCATCATTCGACTGCATGAAACACAAAAGCAAAATAAGACAGCTAACAATGTTCCTGATGCCCTTGCATGCAATATATTCTACTGTACTGTTTGTTGTCATCAGTGCAATTCTCGAGCCGGCCACAAAAGTCATGCCCGTCATAGGTATGTAGATAATTAGTAGGTTGTCATTAGAACCTCATACATCGAACTCGGTGGGATGTCCATTATATATATATATATATATATATATATATATATATATATATAGTGCAATGTGGCAAAGATGAACGATGATCGTATACCAAAAGTTCTTTTCTACAGTGAAAGCCATAGTGGTCATAAAAATGTTCGTAAACCTTGGATCAGGTAATGGAGATAAACTGAAGAGCAATCTTTCTTGCGTCAACATTCCATTCAAGAACTTTGAAAAGGTAGCTATGAAGAGATCAGGGTAGCGTCCAAGCAGCCATGTAAGAATAAAGCACTATTAAGCAGTAAGCAAAATTCGACTGCGTGAAACACGAAAGCGGAATAAAACAGCTAACAGTGTTCCTGCTGCACTTGCATGCAATACTTTCTCCCGTACTGTTTGTGCAATTCTCGAGCCGGCCCTAAAAGTCATGCCCGTCATAGACATTCAGATAATTAGTAGGTTGTCGTCGGAAGCTCATACGTCGAACTCGACGGGAGAGTCCATTATATTTTATAGTGTGTATTTGTCTATATTTCTGAGATGAGGTATTATGTACATTATTTACATTATTCGGACTATTGTCCTCATCTTTGTCGCCATATTTATTACATCGTCTCGACCGTTGTACGCTCCGGCCTTCTTAAGGTGATTGGAAACTTCGAACTGAAGCCTTTATTTTGCTCACTGGGGTGGACTGTTCTAGTTCCACGTGCCATCTTTATTGGATGTCAGTTATCGGGACCCAAAGAGTGAGTTCAATACCGGGTTAAGGCAGTGGAGAACTTTCAGAGGGAAATTAACAGGAGATATCCATTAAACTTGGCACGTGGAACTAGAACAGTCTACCCCAGTGAGCGAAATAAAGAGTTCAGTTCGACATTCCAACCTCCTGAAGAAGGCCGGAGCGTACAACGGCCGAAACGTTGTAATAAATATGGCGACAAAGATGAGGACAATAGTCCGAATAAGGTAAATAATGTGTGTATTTGTGTTTTTATCTGTATATAAATGTATGTGTATATGGTGATTTTCTCAGAGTAGCTTAGATGTGGCACAAGGCCGAAAGTATAGTGCACTCAGTGAGAATCGAGCTCATTACCCCGTCATAATTGTTCAAGTGAGACAAGCTTGCTGCATGTCAAGGTACCCCTTGTGTTATAGATGGAAACCTATAAATAATAAAGTGTGTTAATAAACCTATAATATCAAATTTGAAAGAAATCTTTAATTCATACAACATTTCTAGAAATTTATAATACTGGGTTTTATTTAAATTTTTTTTTAATTTTTAATACCGAATTTGACGATGAGCGTTAATGGGTTAAAAAAAAATTGACGAATAAAGTATTTTTCGCTGAAATAAAAATATTTAAAACAACGAAACAAGGAAAAAAACTGTTTTTACACCAACACCCGTATTCATCATCCGTCTGTTTTTCTGAGATGAATTATTGTAACTATTTACACTATTTACATTGTTCGGACTGTTGTCCTTATCTTTATTGACATATTCACAAAGTTCCGGCCGTTGTACGCTCCGGCCTTCTTCAGGATCTGTGTATTTTCTGAAATAAAGTATTTTAAGTATTTACACTATTTACATTGTTCGAACTGTTGTCCTCATCGTTATTGACATATTCACGATGTTCCGGTCGTTGTACACTCCGGCCTTCTACAGGATGTGTGTATATTTCTGAGATGAGGTATTGTAACTATTTGTACTGTTTACATTGTTGTGATTGCTGTTCACGTCGTTATTGCCACACCCACAACGCTTCGGTCGTTGTATACTACGGTCTTCTTCAGATGATTTTTTTTTGAATTTCGAACCAAACCTAGAATAGTCAGTCTGTATGTTTGCATTTCTGAAGATTGGTCTAATGATGTAGACATTCTTCTTATGTTTATTTCTTGAAGTGGGCTGACATATAATCTTTACATTCCTCCGGGGGGCGCTCAGTAAAATCACTGAGAATCTGTTCCATTTCTTTTACACACTGCTAGCAAATGTCTTGGCAGGGATTGGCAAAAGTGAAGTTCCTTTCCAACAGTGTGTTATTGCCTTGCGTGCATAGATGAGAATTGCAATTCCAGTGCAAAAGCTGTCACCTTTATGCTGATCTTTTGGACGTCGGAGTACAATGTGCAAGCCATAGATGTTTTCGAAATTAACATAGCCATTGCGAACTTGGGAACAAGAGTCCACAAATGTCATCGAACCAATCTTCAGAAACGCCAATATACAGATCGACTATTCTAGGTGCGGTTCGAAATTAAAAAAAAAAATCCCCTGAAGAAGTCCGGAACGTACAATTGGCAAAACCTTGTGAATGTGACAATAAAGATGAGGACAATGTCATTGTCCGAACAATTCAAATAGTGTAAATACCTGTATTTATATTTCGATTTTCTAATCAGATTTATAGGTAACAAGTTTTCAGGTGGAACTGTGTACTGAGAGGCGTATCAAATACAGTAAATCACATTGTTTATTTCTTTTCACAAAAAAACATGTTTATTTTTCCGATCAATATACATTTGAATATATGTATGTATGCAAATGTGTGTGCGTGTTTGTATCCCCCACAAAGCGACAAATGTTTATGATTTGGTAAAATAATAATAATAATAATAAAACTCTTCATCTTTTTGTTCGATTATCAATCAATTTTTAATTAGAAGGCAATGCTGTATTAAACAGTGTTTGTCTGTCAGTCCAAGCCGTATACAGCTTCATATATCCATGCATGCACAACCTTTGTAAACATTCATCGATCCAAGTTAAAAATATCCAGCATATGTTTTGTTAAGAATTGAATAAATACGAAGCGATAGCCAAAATATTCCTGGAATTTGACTATGGAGAAAATAATGATTAAATCATTTTTCATCCCAACACATATCTTCCACTACAGTACTCCTTTGAATGATAGTTTCAGATTGTTTCACAGAACGTAGCGACAAAAATTCGTACCATAATCTGTTCATGCTCGTTCAAATTCGAGGAGTTTTTGGTTAGCACTTCGTAAAATATTATTAGAAAATGTTTGTAGGGTTTCGTGAGGTCTGTACAAACTTTGTGCTGGAATTTGCGATAAATATAATTTTATATAAAGACAGAGAAATAGAAGTTCGTTGTCGGAGGGTGACTGAAAAAGTTTCTGACGAGAAAATAAGTAATCGCACTTTTAAAAAAATAAGGAACAAAGACAAAATGTCTGGAGAAAATGTCCGCTCTCTTCTGAGGAAATCACTTCTGGTCAGCGATCTCGAAGAATTCTTATATAAGAACATGGTCAGTAAAATAATTTGGGTATATTGACTTAACAATTCCATTTTCTTATTTTGTCCAATCAGGTTTGTCACAGTTGAGTAAAAAAAAAAAAAAAAAAAAATGGCGGACGGTTTTTCAAGTTTAGGTCAGTTTGACATCAGTTTCTTTATGTCCATCTTTTCCGTTTTATGTAATTTAAAATAAACAAAAACATTTTCTCCACTCTTGTCTATCCTGACCCCTTTGTAAAAAGAAAGTGGGTGGATGTTTTAGAAGAATGGATAAAAGAACCGGGGAGATATTCGGGGTGCGTTTTTTATCATTTTTTTTTCTAAGTCTCTGTAACAATAAATTCTTCTTTTGGTTACGCTTTAACCAATTCACTTTCTTTTTGTTAAGACGAGATAATTAAGAAACAACAAAAAATCGATAAAACCAGTTTCTTCCTCTTCAAACTAAGCGGAACTTTACCACCAACGAGAATTTTTAAAAATGGTCTCGATAAATAGGTTTTAGGGTTTTTAAAGAATTTCTTCTTCTTCTTCTTCTTCTTCTTCTTCTTCTTCTTCTTCTTCTTCTATTTGATACGTTCTTTTTATTTATGTTTTCGTCTTTCTCGTTTTATTTTTGAGCGCCACGGTTCTTGCTTTCTCTTTTCTTTCTGGTTTTAGTCCTTTATTTTCCTTTCCAAGGAACCATAATCTTCGCTAAGTCTGTTTTCGATATTTATTAAACAGTAACAAGCAGAGCAATCCAAAGACACCGCAAATGATTAGAGCCAAAATGGCGATTACGATGATATACGATGTATCGTCAGCAGGATCTGCAAAATAAATAAATAAATAAAATAAAAAATAAAATAAAATAATAAGATAAAATAAAAAATAAATAAATAAAATAAAAATAAAATAAATAAAAAATAAAATAAAAATAAATAAAAATAAAAAATAAAATAAAAAAATAAAGCAACATTGTATTACATTAATGAGATGTGTTTCGATGCAATTTCAACATTTAGAATTTTGGGGCCTAAAATGAAGAATCTATTTTCTATTGCTATTAAATAATAAACCGAAACCATCAAAATTCAGCTAGTTATGTGCCATGCGTGATACACGCTTAGGCGATCATGTATCTGACTGACGAGGCAGATTTTTTTCCCGCAGTAGGTTGCCATTTCTTTCTGCGGTAGACCAGTTGCCATCCAAGACTACAGAATCCGGTCTGTCCTGCTATTTACCCATAGCTGGGGTAGAGGTGGAGGAGAACAGGATTCATACCTTTCCCAAGGGTATTAGCACGTAAGTGAATGTAATGGATTCGGGTGGAATTCGAACTCGGCTCTCCGATTCTTCAATCCGAGCAGCTATCCATTACTCTACCGTGCCATCAAAATTGCTACTTATTGATACTAGAAAAATATATTTGAAGAGACACATATGAAAACCAATAATAATGATGACGATGATGATGATGATTTTAAATATGGACGCCATGTGTAAACTAGTTTTAATATAAGATCTTACTGGACATAAAGTGAGGGATCACGTTCCTGTTATTAAGTAATAAACTGATTTCTTCAGAAATACTAAATATTAGTATAATGGGAAATATCTATATATAAATTTTTGTTAGTCGTTCCGCCAATGCAGCAGATTGGGAAAAAAAACTAAACTGAAATCAAAACATACAAAATCTTAAAGAACAACGACTAATAAAAAGAAAACCATAAAATCGTGATCTGCTCAAAGCTGAAGCAATAAAAGAGAGACATAAAAGAAAAACTCTTCCGAGCTCCTAACAAAACAATTAAAAATCACATACCAAGGAACTACGTAAGCATACTCATAGAACTTTAAAAAAATCAGATAAAACGAATATCTTTGTTGTATTAAATAAATCTGATTATATCTCAAAATTACAACAAATACTTGACGATCTCATTAAATTTTAAAAAGTCAACAAAAGTATTATTAACCAACTGAAATTGAAAATAAATAAACTGATCACAGCCAACAACGCCGAACAAAACAACTGAAAACAACACAAAATAATTAGTGGCTACAAACAAGGATACATGTATGGAATTATAAAAATACATAAACCTAATATCCCAAATCTACACTCAGGTTTATCAATTAATCAGAATCATTAAGCAACTCATTAAACAATACATACCTAATAAATACAGTATTAAATCAACTCACAAACTAATCCAGATCTTAAAAAAGAAAAAAAAAACAAACTAATAATGAAACCTTAGCTGATGTTGAAAATTTATTTACCAAAAGAAAAACGATTGATATAAGTATGAAGAATATTTACAACACTCCATCTCTCCCACCACTAAAAATTAAATCTAACATAGTTACGGAAACTACTTTTGACTTGTACCACCAAGGTTCACTTCTATGACCATCAATGGCGTGATGGCGTTTCCATGGGTTCATTTCCGGGACCAACGTTTAGCAAATTCTATATAACTAATGTTGAATATAAGATATTTAATACCACTAAATACCCTCAATCTAAGATAAATATATAAAGTATATAAACTACAAAAAAATTCCGTTTTTAATTTCACATATGAACTTAACAATAACAATAAAATTTCTTTTCTTGATGTATTGATAGATATCAATAATAATACAATTACTACCTCCCTTTATATAAAAAACTTACCTAGCATAAGCATGCACTCACAACTATAAAAGTGAATATCCTATTACAAAATATTATACAAAATTTAATAAACCGTTCAAAGTCGACTCTTCTACAAAAACATTTTCTAGACTGAATTAAAAAATAGTAAAAATTTTCATGACTTTTCTAATTATTTTGCTGATGAACGAATTAGGCGAGTTATTAGAAATGTTAACATCAATCAAAAAGAACCTATTACTTCCTCAAATAAACCCTAAACATATCAACCTACTACACCGCAACCAAATATATTCTAACTACAAACGCGATGAAAAAATACTAAAAAAAAAACCCTCATAAGCACTAATATATTCCCCACTGGTCTCAGTAAAAAAAATAAAACTAATTATATATTATACTAAATTTAATACAACCAACCTAATGATCCGGAATAACTCTTTTCCGTCAACTAGTGTTTTGCCAAAGACCAACATTTTATATCACTTTAGATGTCCTTTGGGAGATTTTATCTCCGCCAAAAAGTAAATATATACGTTGGTTACACAACATTATCAAGGAGACTTACACTACATATGTCGAATACAAGCTCTATAACACAACAGTTAAAGACATTCCTGCTCACCTTCACTATTCGGAAAAATACTAATTGATAACACAAGTATACTCTACCATGAAAATAAAATAAAAACTTCTCGAGTCCTCCTCTATAGGGAGCAAACAACCAACACTAAATAAGCAACAATGTTTTAAAATGTTTATAATGGCAATGATTTTTTGCACGCTTTATTAAATTTAAAAGTATAACTATACAAATTAAAGTTACCTCCCCTAGATCAAAACATGTAAAAAGCGTCATAGCTTTAACAGTTAATTTAAATTAATTATTAAAGAGCGCGTTCATGCGTGTTTAAATTAATTATATCAGAGCGCGTTTTATGCATATTTACAAAAAGTCAAAACTATCAGTTACATTAATTTTTTTCTTAGCAATTCACTCTTAAAGATGCTATCGGATGAGATCGAAAGTATTTGGGAAAATAAAAATTAAAATAAAAGAAAGGAAAAAACTACAGCGCCTTTCTTAATGAATTTAATATCAACATTAAGAAGTCGATCAGAGAAATAGAGAGGATTAAAATAAAAATATACATATGTCCAGATTATTCAACTAAATATGCATCAATGAAGATATAGATCTATATATGAATATATATATAAAGAGAGAGAAAGAGAGAGAGCAAGAGAGTGAGAGGAAAGGGGAAGATCAGAGTAAAACGAGAGGAAGATAGCAGAAACGAGAAAGAGAGAGAGAGAGAGCAGAAACGGATAGATTGGATAAAGAGAGAGGAAAGAAATGAAAAAAGAGTGAATGTTAGTATAGACAGGAAAAATGCGGAAAAGATAAGAGCGTAGAAGGATAGATACAGAGGGTAGAGAGAGAAAGAGAAAGAGAGAGAGAGAGAGGAACATACAGATATATAACTATGTATATAGATCCATATATAATTACATACAGAGATAGATAGCAAAGAGAGAGAGAGAGAGAGAGAGAGAGAGGGAGGGAGTGAGAAGGAGAGAGAGAGCGTAAAAAAGCGATAGAAGGAGAAAGAAAAAAGAAAGAACTGTGAAAGACAGAAATAATATTCAGAAAGAGGAATGTAGTGGATACAGCCTCCCCCACCCCCAGCGTAAGCGGTCTAAGATCGCCTACTCTGTGCACAGTAGACTCAATCGGCTCGGACTGGGTGGCGTCTCACATGACGTCGTTAAATGACATAAAAGCCAGCATTTGTTTACGCCGGGGATTTGCTTGAAGGAACACCGCCGGTGCGACAGGAGCGAAGGAAAAGAATCTCGATAATTCAGCTACAGGGAGAGAAAAAGAAACAAATACCATAACAGGAGGAGAGTGAAAGTTGAACACAGATAGAGAAAGATAGATATGAACAGACCGAGAAAGATATTAGCAAACTGAATATATATATATATATATATAATTATTTATTTAAAAATATGATTCCATCGCTACATAAGAGTTCTCATGTTTCAAAACAAGAGCCAAAAACTTCACTATAATTATTTGAATTAAATTGAATTAAAGTACTAAGCTCTGTTCCATCTTCAAGCGAAATTTTTTTGGAATAACTTATTCCTGAAATTTACGCGTTTTATAAGCATATTCATTATTGAAATTAAAAAAAAATAGATAGATACACTCTTGTGCAAATTAATTGAAACAAAACAAATAATTACGTTATTATTTACTTTTTTCGTATTTTCCAATGAAACATGACCCAGTACACATGTCAGTACTTCGTATGTCCATTCCACGAAGTCGTTCCTTGCAGATTGACCATAGATTCTCGATTAGATTTAAATCAAGAGAGTTTCCAATTCAATCTATAGTATTTTGATTTGCTCACTGGTAAGGTTTGCCAGTGTGCTCGTACAGCGTTACAATTTTCTTACGCTTTCTTGCGGTAAAATCCATCGCAGACAATGGCAGTAGGACAACTAATCGACAGTCAAGACAATAGTGTCTGATCGTGATAAAAATCTGATGCAATCACGTATGACGCAATATTTTTCAAGGCAGAACAAATTTCATCATACGGCCCGGAAATAGGTTCATATTACTGCACACTACTGCAAATAACCTAATCTGGGAAAAATAGAAATCGATCCACCCTGTCACTCCAGTGGGTTTAAAACTGACCGTATGGTGAAAGAAAGGAAACTAAAGCGGTTATTTCAATTAATTTGCACAAGGGTTTGGTTTAGTTTGGCTTGGTTTGTTTTATGGCATATCAACCTCAATGGTGTATTTAATGCCGACAAGATTTTTATTGCTGGTAATTTTTTTTTTTTGCTGTTAATAATTTTTTTAAAAGTATTTCTGGTATTAAAACCTATTTTTTTTTACACTTTCATATTGTTTTGACCCTAGTTTGGGGGTTAACTATTTGCACATAGCTGTAAACTTAACAGGTGCTACCACTCCGAATTTGCACAAGGGTATAGATAGATAGAGAGAGAGATAGACAGATATGAACAAACTGAGATAGATGAAAAGACTGAAAATACTATATATATATATATATATATATATATATATATATATATAGAGAGAGAGAGAGAGAGAGAGAGAGATGAACAGACCGAAATAAATAGATTACCTGTATCAATCAGGTTATTCGATGTAGGTTTTCGAATGAAATTGTCTGTCAGAGAGGAAGCGGAAGTGATCGACTCTTTGACTGAAAGAAAAAAAAATAATTTGATGACGTCGGAAACGCAATGTGTTTTGTCTTTAAAAAAAAAACAAAAAACAAACAAACAAAAAAAAACAAAAAACAATTTCTTTTGTACACATATCATTTAAGAACGCGGACAATCATTGGATATCAGAATCTTCCTATTCTTTTTAATATCTGTAAATTTAGACATGTTTGGAAAAATGGTGGATGATTTCTCGTTTGTGATTTCCACTGTTTTTGAATTCATATCACTCCTTTCTCTTCCCTGTTTTCCGTCTATCTCACTCCTAGACTAACCGCAACGAGCCAAGTCTGTTTCGTTATTTAACCCATACCTAAGGAGAGAAGAGATTCATGTATTTCCCAAGTGCATCAGAGAGAAAGTAAACAGACTAGGCCGGAATTTAATCTTTGCTAGCTGATTCCATTTTTCGTTTCGACAACCATTACTCCATTTTCACTCCCCCAGCTTCATTTGAAATGGAAAATCACAGTCAGCACAATTGCATTTTCTTCTGCTCTTCTACAATAGAAATTTCACAACCTATAGCTTCTTTACGCTAATTGTGAAATCCTTCCTTACAATTTACATCTAGAGCTGGCTAACTGATTATTTTGCTATGATATAACAAACCTTTGTTAAGTAATATTTTTTTTTTTAACATTATTAGGAAAAAATACTTAGACTTAATTTCTGTTTGAATTTCTAGGATGAGCAGTTATCATGATTCCCATTATTTATAGCCACATTAATCCCCTCATCTCAGATAGTTCATAATTAAATGTTATTACCTCTTTAAGTAGAAACTCTCGATAGATATCCACTGCAACACGTGTATTTATTTTTCGGACACATAACCTCTAAAAGAACAATTGCCATGAAAATATTTATAGAAAAAGGGAGGCAACCTTACGGCGGTCGGAAAGTGACTGAAGCCGAGCTGCCAGATCAGGACCAATAATATTACTGATTCTTCTTTGGATTTTATCAAGAGGTTTAAGGTAAATAGCAGTGGCATCGGACCATATGTGGCAGCAATATTCTAAGCATGGGTGAATGGTAGACTCATAAATATGTAAGATAGATTCTGGAGAGTAAAATTGTCTCGCACAAAACAGTGAACCGAAAAACAGAAGTTAGAAAATTTAAGAGAGATAAATTTTAAGCAAAATAGCGCCTTTTAAGATTATGTATTTGAAAATGTCCTTTATTTATCATAATGAATATCTTTTTCTCCATAAATTCATCACTGAAGTCTTAATTCACGTAATAATGTTGGTTGATATTCGGTTTTATTCTAGGAATGTTTAAAAACGAATAAAAAACGACGAAAAGCAAACCCATTTAAATATTTGTCTCATCCAAAGTACACGCGTCAATAAATTAAATATTTTAAAAATATCTTCTGTATCAATTCATATTACATATTTTGCTTATTTATTTTAATATTTATATTTTGATGTTTTTTATTTATATTTTATTTTTGTTACTCGAAAAAAAAAATCGAATGTTTATGCTGTACACGTAAATGAATGTAATGGACTCGAACCGGATTCGAACTCGGCTCCCCGATTCCAAAATCCGATCCGCTATCTATTACTCCATCGTGTTTCCTGCTGGATGATGAAAGTTTTTTTATTTTTTTATTTTTTATTAATATTTGAAAATACCTTACCTGAACAGGTGGCACAACACTGGCCTTTTCGTAAGACCGTCTGGTTACAAGAGAGCGCCGGACATGTTTGGGAGAAGCAGTGGACATGTCCATGTCGGCACGTGCAGCTCTGGCAGGGGTTACTGCGCCAAACCTCGCCGTGTTTGAAAGCCGGTTTGCCGTCCAGCAAGCAATGCTTCAATAACTTTTGTGGGACGCGCGAGGGCTTGTCTGCTTTTCCTGGTTAAAAAAAAAGGAATGAGAAAAAAGACAGGACTTAAGTATAAGAAAGGAAAAAATAAATAAAAAGAGCTTATATGACGTTGGATTAGGTTGGATTAGCTTATAATACGTGTATATGGCAAATATGGTTAGCGGTGATCCATCATCAACACCAGGAGCCGGCAACCTTTCGCTAACTCTGTGCGGAGTTAGGGTTTTAAAATCATCCAGTGTGTCAACAGCGTACGTATTTTTATACTAGTCAAGGTCTGTTCTGCGATATATTTTATATAGTAATATATAGTATATATAAAATCGACCTCACTAACCGAACGCTCCTCTGTGGCCAAATCGGTTAAAGGAACGTCAGGCTATATGGCGGTTCCGTATAGAATACAGGTTCGATTCCTGTCGGAGGACGAATATTTTCTATGAAAATTTCTCGGACATTCAGGTCGGTAAATGTTGTTTAATACTGTTTATTATAAACAGAGCATTTAACTTAAATATTTGTATCTATAAAAAGAATGTATAAACATAAAAATGTCTTAAAATACTTTCGTATATATTAAAATTTAAAGAGCTAAATATCATTGCGTTGTAGTAGCTATAGGTTCGGACTTCGTGATGTCATCTGCGGCTGCGTGCCATTGAAAATTGCTTGGTGTGGCACGCGTGCCGCAGGATGCCAAGCTCTGATATATAACATAGCTATCATTATCGCCATAAGAATTATCATTATTATAATTTTATCTTCATAATCATAATTACCATTATCATTTTCATAATTGTCATCATTATCTTGATAATAATTATCGTCACAATCAATAGTTTTAAAAATATAATTTATATTTTCATATTAATAATTATCAACCTCAAAATCATAATTATCATCGTAATAAGTATTATTACAATTAGAATTATAGTAATAAAAAATTGTCATCGTGAACATAATTATCACCATCCCTATCATAATTATCTTCATTTTCATAATCATAATTTTTATCTTCATAATCATAATTATTATAATTATTCATGAGCACAATCAAAATTGTAATCATTATTTTAATTCCAATTTTTGTCATCATATTCATCATCATCATAATCATAATTAGCCTCATAAAAATCATTACCATCAATATCATAATCATAATTATCACCATCGTCATAATTATTATCTTCATCATAATCATAATTAACCCTATTAGAATCATTATCATCAATATCATAATCATAATTATCATCTTAATTTCATTTCATCCATTTTTATCTGTTAATTAAAATAAAAAACAGTTTTGAAATTTGTTTTTGCCTCATAGCCTTTTTCTAAAAACAAATTCAATCTTTATTAATAAACATTAACACAAACAATATTTACGTTGATAAAGCACCTAGTGAGGAATGAACTCACAGATAATAAACAATTGACAGATTTAATTGTTTTTTTTTTCTTGGCATTAAGAAGGCATTTATTCCTTCCACATCGTTAATACTTACTTGGGCAGAAAGCACAACACTGTCCCGCCACTTTTATGGGGAAATGGCATAACTGGGGAGGGCACATCTCCGTGTTGCAAAGGATTATACCATGATGGCATAGACAAGTTGTACATTTCTCGAGTTCCCACACTTCACCCTCCACATACTCGTTGCCATTCTCACCGTGGCAAATTTCTTGCTTGTATCTTTCCTTAGAAGAGATCGGCTCGGTACCTGGCAAGAAATATATCAATAAAATACACGAATATACATTCTGCACTTTTCGAAAAAAATCGAAAAAAAAAAAATCTTTTGTTCGCAAAAGGAAATAAGCTAATGAAAATCATAGAATTTGAAAATCATAGAATTTGAAAATCATAGAATTTGAAAATCATAGAATTTGAAATGATCATTTCTATGTTGGGACGGATCCCTTGTTTAGAACGTCCACATTTAGAAAATATTAAAAATAATTCATATATATTATTACGTTATTTTAGCGGATACCCATATTTGAAATAGACGCTCCTTTTTTTTTTAAATTTGAAACACTGGATATTATGTCTACCGGCCTGAGCAATTGCGAAAACTTAAAGAAAGTATTTCCTTTCTTTCGTTTTCTCGGGTGTAGAGGCCGGTAGACGTAATACACACTGTTTAAAAAACCCCACAAAAAACGGGTCGTCTATTTCAAACACGTGTATCCACTAAAAATAACCCTTGAAGTAATAAAAAATCACGTATTAAAAATAAACACATTAATTCTTTAGAAATTGCTTTGTTTACGTTTCGGATAAAAAATATTTTAGCAAAACAGTTTGGTAGACGAGCTCATATACAAAAAAAATACTTAACTGTAAATATCAATATTTGATGGTCTTTCCCCGAATATGCAGAAAATGTTTCTTAACTGTAAATATCAATATTTGATGTTATTTCCCGACTTCGAAGTTTCTTGGAATTATCCATTTTTCAAGGGGATCTGTCATTTTAATAAATTTATTTCAATAATTTGATTTAATTTATTTATTATTTATTTATTTATTATTCAAATAATTTATGTGAATAAACTTATTCAAACAACAGAATCCTTGAAGAATGTATAGTTCCAAGAAACTTCGAAGTCGGGAAATAACATCAAAAATTGATATTTACAGTTAAACAAATTTTCTGCATAGTATACTATCAGTGCTCTATTTTTTTTATATTATTTTCATAATCCTAATATTTCGCACTATATGAAAATATCTGCTTTACTTTTGAACTCTTATATTCTTAATAAAAAACAGAAATGTTGAAAACCAGAAGTGTTGAAACAAAATTGCAACTTTTTATAACATGCATATATTATAATGTTATAAATCTGAATAAATATTATTTGGTCTACTCGGTACTGAGCACTCTCTTAAGAAAAGTGATTTTGTTTATTGGAATTTTATTCCATGTGAACCAACCCTGTATATATATATATATATATATATATATATATATATATATATATATATATGTGTGTGTGTGTGTATGCGTGGGTGAGCATGTTTATGTTTCTCGGGCACTTTGATGTGGTGTAATGGTTAGCAAACATTTCTCGCTAAAGCTATACTCACTATTTAAAAAAAAAAAATGCTAGTCGTCTATTTCAACACGAATATCCACTAAAATAACACTTGAATTAGAAAAAAAGTCTCAGATTAAAAGTAAATACATTAATTCTTTAGAAATTGCTTTCTTTACGTTTCGGATACAAAATTCTTTACATATATATATATATATATATATATATATATATATATATATATATATATATATATATATAGTTAATGGATAGAATTATTCCCTCTACTGAATATTTGCATATTTTCGAAAGAAATGCAACTATTTGCAAGTACTTACTGAATTTACCATAAATAGTTGATTTCTTATTTAGTTTTGAATAATTCGTGAAATTTTTAGAAGTTTCAATCTATTATATTCATAGTTATAATTTTTTCTAAAAATTGATGCCGATCAAAATTATTGCGCCCCCCCCCATTTATGGAAATTATTAAATAATATTGCTTTATGGAAAGTGCAATGATTTTTCTTAATTTAACATTTAATAAAAACAACCTTTGAAAATGAAATAATATTGATACAATAGTATTCTAAAAGGCAATGAAGAAAACAATATATGATAAATCATTCGTTCTGCAGCCATGACGAAGACGGCTGAATTTGACAAGAAGCTCCGAACGAAAAAAAGTTGATGTGTACAAACAAGGTGATGGATTTATAACTCTTTCTAAGCGATGTAATTAATATGCATACACCCGGCTCCCCGCTCACAGTAATATGATTGGCTGGTGTCAGCCATAAATGCAGACTGATGTGGAGGTACATGAACGACGCCTATTGCCTACGCTTATAGTCTTCGCCTATTGCCTACGCCTATTGCCTACCACTACGACGAGGACCAGTCCATTACGGTTATCTGCTAGATTCTCCTACTCGGTTATAGTAGTCCAAAACCACTTTGCTACTTCGAACAAATATATCACTTTCGGGACATACACACATATATATATATATATATATATATATATATATATATATATATATAAATATGATTTCATCGCGATGGAATAATTTTTAAAAAGAAAATAATTTTAATATTTTGTCCTACTCTTTGTATTGAGCACTGTTTTTTTTTTAAAATAAAAATAACTGCTAAGAACACCGGATTATAAATCTTACTGTTCTTTCCTATTATTTTAATATATATATATATATATATATATATATATATATATATATATATATATATATATATATATATATATATATATATATATATATATATATATATATATATATGATAAAATATAGTTTTAAGATATACTATATTTATGAGTTAAAGCACAATATCAGGGATGGTGCGCATGTAAACATAAAGTGGACAAGTCAACACCCAGAGACAAGTATTTGTTTCATGCTTAAACACAATCTTTTGTCTGAAGATTGCATTTTAATCAAGAAACGGCTGGGTGTTATCCTCAATATCCACTTTTATATGTGTATATGTCCTCATCTTCAACCTGTACACACTTTGTGGAGTATAGGGCCACAGCTTCATCCCAGAAGAGGATGCTAAGCTTTCAGTAGCAAATAGTTCTTTTTTTTTATAGAGTTGCTACACTCGTATCCAACGGGACTTGAATTCAAGTTTCTCATTTTCCTCGGCTGGTTGCCATCCAAAGCTAGAGAACCCAATCTGTTATTTAAAACTTAGTTGGGAGGAGTAGAGATGCAATGGCTTTGGTTAATATATATTGGACTTGTGGGGTATTTACTTACGACATAGGAGTATTGGTAGTAGAATTTTAGGCATGTATTTACGAAGATAAAACTGGAAAAATAAATGTACCCAATACATAGAAGGCATGACAAATTGTATGGTAATTTCATACAAGATTATTTATGTTTATTGGTGTATGTATTTTACATTATAATTGTATAAAGTGTTTGTGTTATAAAAGAGAGTAAGTTACTCTGTAGTAGCACAAGTCCTATCACGGAGGGATGTTACACACGTGTTGTCATCCCGACAGTTCTTGGGTTAAGGGATTGACTCCAACATCCTTTGGTGGGATGTCTGTATTTATAGTAGGGACAGTTTTTGTTGCATTTTTGGGGAATTTTGTTATTTTTTATTTAATTTATTTTAAACAATGTTTAAATGTTATTGTTCTAATTTATTTATAATTTTCATTATTGTTATTATTTTATTTATCTGTAACAATAATAATATCCCTACAAGCCACTAGAAAAACCACTTCACGATCTTTTGCAAAAATCATAATTTAAAAATAAGAAAATGAATCTGTGGAGAGGCTTGATCGATTTCAAGGTTTAAATATTGTTTTATTTTATTTATAATTTTCATCATTATTATTATTTTATCTATTTGTAACAATAATAATATATAATAATAATATTTAAAACTTAGTTGGTAGGGAAAGAGATGTATTTGAGGTCGGGAGAGGGCTTTAGACCCAGTGAACGTTTAATGCAATGAGCCACATTAAGGCTATGATCATTCAGCAGGAATGGTGAAGTTTTAACATCTGCTCGGTGATGACGAGATAAAGAACTTTTTGAGTGAACAATGGTATATAAAAAAATAAGGCTGCGTGAATAGACTAGAATTATGTTAAATTCTTTTACTTACCTGGGCAGCTGGGACAACAGTCACCAATTCTGTAAATAGGGTTACTGCAAGGTGGCACGGAACAAGCAATCAGAGAACACAGTTCTTTGCCTTCCTTGCAGTAACACTCTCGGCAACCATCGTTCCACATTTCGCCATTTTTATAATAAAGACCATTTGAAAGACAACTTGTTTTTCTCCGGGGAGAGATCGTTTTTCCCAAATCAACACTGATGTGGGTCGTCGTTTTTCCGAATGATGGCTTTCCTGAAATATATATAAAAAATAATTAAAAACATACAATCTCAGGTTCACATTAGCTAATTTTATTATTGTTAATTCATATTTGATTTTATTTAACACACACACAAACACACACGGACACACAAACAAATATATATGATAGACAAGGAATAGTTTTTAATTTTTCATAATTTTTCCTTGAGTCTTTCGAAGTTTTTTTTTTTGAGGATTATGAGTATGGACAAAATTGACTGTAGTGACCATATATATATATATATATATATATATATATATATATATATATATATAAACACGCTGAAACCTCCTGACGAGTGGGCCGAAAAATTACGAAAAATTCATCTATATAAATTCGGATTGAGCTACTGAATATAACATCTATCAGCTAAGTGGCACATTAATTTTTAATTATATATATATATATATATATATATATATATATATATATATATATATATATATAGATAACGAAGTATTTTGTAATCCGTATGGATAATTCCAAGGAGGATGTAATCCAGAGAGCTCAATGTAAAAACAGAGTAAATATTAAATTAAGAAACAGACAACATTAGGGGTTCATAGAATTTGAGTTTATTTCTCCAGGAACGGGATTTTCGTCCTGGTTCATTGGCGCCCATTTGCAAACAGAAAAAAAACACTGTAGATTCTCCCACTGAGGCCAAATCAGTCGAGTTTCGATCCCGTCTTGAAGCAATCGGATGTCTAGCTACACTGATGAGCTGTGATACTGCGAAACAGTCTGACTTCAGATGACGATATATATATATATATATATATATATATATATATATATATATATATATATATATATATATATATATATATACAGGGCAGGGCCTCCAAAAATGTATACACACTTTAGGATAGGAAAAACTTTTCTATCGTAATTTTAGCAAATTGCGATAACACTGCCTTACATGAACTTCATGGAAATGATGAATTTTTCTTTCAACGTCGCGCCGTCACACAACCAGCAAGACTTGTTGGGCTTATCTGGATGAGAATTCGCAAGTACATTGAGTAGGACGAAGAGGTGCAGTCAAGTTCCCCCTATTTCCTCCTGTTTTACCACATGCAGACTTTTATATATGGACCATAAAGAATGTTGTATATCGGAGAAAACTGACTACATTAGCGGCCCTTAGACAAGAAATTGAAAACGTATGTGGGAATTCCAGTGGACACTATGGCCAGCGTTGCTCAAGCAATAGTTGTTCGTACTAATAAATGTCTGGAATCTAAAGGTCACCACTTTGAGCATCTCGTGATTGTAGATCCCAAAGGTAACTTGTATTAATCTAGTGATGTCTGAATAAATTTAGTATCACTATATCTATACAATTTTTTCCTTTCCTGAAGTGTGTATACATTTTTGGGCTAACTCTGTATATATATATATATATATATATATATATATATATATATATATATATATATATATATACACAGAGTCCACCCAAAAAATATATATATATATATATATATATATATATATATATAACAGTATTAGGTCTTCCTTAAATATACAAGTACTTACGACAGGTTCTCCGGTCATCATCAGGCAACAAAAAAATCTTAAATAGTAAAAAACGCTCTCACTTTAATTTTCCAAAATTCAACCTTCGCGTTCCAACTGCACGTACCACAAGTTTGTGTCTGTTATCAGTAACACACTTCAAAAAACATATTTCGATTTTCATTATATTTTTTCGTCTCTGATGCTACCTGAATTTTACTAAGAAAGAAAATACTTTCGAGCGTGACACTCTGGATTTATGAATATATGTTTTCCGCCAGGTGTATAAATAGCGGTGTCAGGCTACTGACTGAAGTGATTATTAGGTGACTATTGAGTGGAACTATCCAGTCGAATTAGTGTGAATTATTGTGCGTCGATGATTTGGGTTTTGATTTAGGATTTACCGGACGTTAAACTGAGCCGCGCTATTAACAAGGTATTCACTGAAATGGTTAATTATCTTTTGCTGAGTTTTACTTTTTGTTCTTGCTAATTATTTATAAATACTGTTTTATCTTAACATTGAAATCTTGAGTTATACTTAATATCTTGAGTTATACTTAATTATTAACGGCCACTGTACGTCAAATATATATATATATATATATATATATATATAGTTTTAAGGTGTGCTATATTTATGGGATAAAGTGCTCAATATCATAGATAAAGCGTATGTAAATATAAATATAAAAGTGAGCATTGAAGTCGACACTCAGAGGCGACAGACTGTTTCATGTTGGACGCAATTGTCAGGTCGCGAATTCGCCTCTGAGTGTTTACTTCAATGTTCACACACACACACACACACACACACACACACACACACACACACATATATATATATATATATATAATGTATTAAGGAAAGAGTAAAAACATATGCCAGAAGCCGTGGTGGAAGGTCTTACCGCTTCAAAAACAGCAACAGATTGCTCAATGAACAATAGCAATAAAAACGTTAAAGTGTATTTATCTACTCGCTAGTGTCATACGACATATCAACAAAATAGGCGAAAACACGTTTAGTCACATGCGAACCTTGAAATAAATAATTATTGATGCTTTTGTTAGAAGGCCCAGTGAAATAGAAGATGGAAGTCAGATTTCGAAATGAACGCTTTCCGCAGTCATAGAAATTGCTGGCCAGGTGGGATTCACAAGCTTTTACTCATCGGTTATATTCGCTTGATAGATAGTGTTATGGTTTGATTTCACAGTGGAGGCTTGCATTTGTACTAAGTCGGTCATAAATTCGGTTCGACGTACAAAACGTTAGGAACTTGGTATAATAGGTAATGACGCAGAGAAATCTAGTTGTGGTTGCTGATACTTTAGTATTCGACTAACAGTCGTCCGGCATCGACAGACTGACCGAACCACTGAGCAACTCCCTCGTTACTCTTACTACTCCTATTATAGGTGGGAAATCTATTAACTATAGAATAGGTGTGTTCCACTATAACAGATAGTCACCTGAAGGCACCCATTAAAAATTCAACCGCTGCCCTATCGAGTGAGTATACTAAATATTATCTCTCACAGTGGGTTGTGAATGAGTAAAAAAGTCTCCTGCTTTCGGCAATCGATGTCAAGATTTTAGACAACAAGACTCGAGATTTCAGGTTAATTATTTTTTAACAATTTACGGTGTTGGGGAAACGACCTGTAGCACAACCTATTCTATGTTCAATTTCCTTATCTCCTATAGTAAATTTTTTTTTATAACTGATCCATATACTGAGTGTTTGGTAAATACCCATCTTATGATGGATTCAGTTTTCTTTTTTTAAATCATTACACCTCAAGCAAGGCAGGAATGCCACTAATACACAGGGTGGCAACAGAGAGTGAAAATGAGAGAAAAAGACTGAATATAGGAAAGATTGAGGAAAGGACAAAAGAAAAACAGGATTCAAGAAAAAAGAAGATGGTGGTTGACGTTGCTTTTAAATTTCTGAAGATTGTAGTTGTCAGGGAAGCAAGGAAACAGAAGAGAGTTCCACAGGCGAGAAGTGCGAGAAAATAAACTGTCGGAGTATAAGTGGCGGTTGTATTTAGTTATTTCAACAGTAAACGGGGGTGGGGGACCTAGATGCTAACCTAGTATCATGCTTAAATTCATGCAGTCGGGGCACCAGGGTAAAATAAAAAGCTCGTCAGAGCAGATGCCATGGAAATACTTGCAGAAAAGACAGAGAGAAGCCACACCATGTTGGTGAGAAAGTGACTGAAGTCGAGAGGCCAAGTCAGGATCGATTACATTACAGATCGTTTTTTGGATTTTGTCAAGAACCATGAGATGAATAGCAGGAGTACCAGACCAGATATGGCAGCAATATTCAAAGCAAGAACGAATGGCGCCATCATTGTTTTCATTCCAATTCCATATCATTGTTTTTGTTTTGGAAAGATTTATTTCAAGTCCTATTTCTTGTAAACGATCTTGACTTTCTGTTCAAGACTTTTGTTTAATACTATTAACATAGAAAACACCATATCCTTTCAGGACGTCGACGATCATGGCTCTCTACATCTTCCTCTCTCTTTATTATCTGTGAATATTCATGACGTCTTGTGAATGGTAATAGAAAGGTTTCTCGTTAACTTCTCCACAGTTTTGAAATCAAAGTTATCCCTCTACTAGACTGGAGTACCTTGTCTTATCTAATGTTTAACCCATAGCTGGGACTTCATCCTATACTATTTGAAACATGGTGTCAACTTGTCAATATGAATGAGTAATAATAATAATGTTAATAGCAATAATGGTACTTCTGAAATCTGGTACGCCAGTGTTGGTTTGGTTTGGTTTATTTTGTTTTATGGCATATCAACCCCAATGGGTTATTTAATGCTAACAATTTTTTTTTCATTACTGGTAATATTTTGTGTTGTCAAAAATCTGTCTCTAGTAATATTTTTCCTTCAAAATTGTATTGCTGGTAATAATTTTTTTTCAAAAAGTATTGCGGGTATTAGCTATTTGCCCATAGCTGGGACCCTAACAGGTGCTACCACCCGGGTCAGGGTGGACCTGGGAACACCAGCAATTAAGTGGTGGTTCCACACTCCTCAAAACCTCCTGATCAGAGTCCTTGCTGCTGGTCGTAGTTTATCGTCTTACCCAGGACGCGGATGTAGTTTAATGTCTTACCTACGACGCTCGCCGGTGTTGGATAAAAGGAGACCCGTTCTGTTTCGCTTGGTCGATTTTTATTTTCATATCCCGAACCCACTGCCGCTCATAAGACCCTACTTGGTCAGCAGCGAATGGAATCTGTTTTATCTTTTCTGTCAGGGCGGAGACGAGTGCGTAAACATTGGTCCGGAGTGAACGTAGGGCGGTGTCGTGCCATAGCACAGTGGAATTGGTAACACATTCGTACAGAATAGGTATCTGATCGTATTATGCTTTCTGTGCGAAAGAATTGGTCGTTTACACGCAAAGTTTTACGGTGTAGACAAAGTATTTGGGAGACAAACGAATGTGCGCCTACTACAGATGAGCTCTATTCTTTAGATACATCAAATCGGAGTTTGGTCTCCTCGACGTGGTGTAATGGTTAAGCAAGCTTGTCTCGCTAGAACCATTACAGCTAAGTAGTGAGTTCGATCCTCACTGGGTGCTCTATACTTTCGGCCTTGCGCTACATCTAAGCTACGCTTGGAAAATCACCATCAGTTTGTAGATTTGCAGATGGGATTGGCCGTAGTACTTAGATGAAGTCGAATCACCTTCATTTCCTCTGTATTCCAAATGTAAGGAGAAAGTTCTACATAGTTCTATAAAATTCTATAATCTGGAAAACATGCGCGCTGTTTGTTTTTGATTGTGTCGACTGCACAATAGAGTAGGGTCAGTTGGGCACCGTCTGCAAGAAAAAAAGAGCACCATGATGCAATTCACTCCGACAGAAATTTGGAAACAGCATGCTGTACTGCTTGGCATTTGCGCCGGAAGCTCCAATATGAATATTTCAGAGTATGTGGGTGTAAATCTGACGACAGTGCAGGGGCTTCGGAACGAGTTGGATAAGTCTAATGGCGATTACGAAGATGTTTGCAGTGATTACTAATGGTGGCGACTTTATGCCTCCATTCATCGTCCCAGAGGGACTCACACCCAACAACTGAGTATAATACATCAAGTTTCTTGAGGAGTTAGTGCTACCTTGGGTCAAGAGGGTGGCTATTGGAAGACCCTATGTCTGGAAACAGGACTCTGCCCATGCCACACAAGCAAGTGAACCCATTCATGGTTGTCAAACAATTTCTGTGACCACATCACATTTTGTGCAGAACCAACCACACTTTTTGAAGAACTGAATACACAGTCCTGGCGCACCGTGTGCCACGAGGTCCCCAAACGACTTTGCGCAGGTTTTGAATTCAGTGTTGTCCTTCTCCTAGACCAGTTGCCATTCCAAGGCTATAGAAACCAGTCCGTCCTGCTATTTACCCAGGATGTATATATATATATATATATATATATATATATATATATATATATATATATATATATCCTGGGTAATCTACAGACAGACTGTTTCACTGTATCACAGCTTATCTGTGTGGCTAGACATCCAATCGCTTCAAGCCGAGACCGAAACCTGACCGATTTGGCATCAGTCGGAGATTCTAACTCCTAGGAGCCCGGCAGAGAGAAAGGGTAAAGGGTAACTTTGCATATATATATATATATATATATATATGATAAGTCAGAATTATTCTGATGATCCGATAGGTGAAACCTAGGTAGATAGGTACTGGCTTTTTAGGTATTTTAATTTTGTTCTACTTAGTGTATTGAACACCTTTTACGTATCAGCTTAATTCGCTCTGTCGGTGTTTTTTCTTTTGGCGAGACATATCAGTGCTGCTTGATTTTTTCAAGCAGTCCGGATGTTTTTAGTCTTTTCTTTTTTATTGAATAAGGTTCACTGTTTACAAGGCCCGGGGCCACCGGAGTTAGAAAATTAGGAGACAATTTGTGCTGACAGGAGGGGAAAGATAACGTTTACTTCTAGTCTTAAGCAGGTTAAGATTATAGTGATTGGGAAAACAACCTCTTGGGAGTCGGTTCCACAGAACAGTGGTTTTCTGAAAGAAGCTGCTCGAGTGAAACTTACTTCTCACCAATGGAATACGGAGGGGTTGTGGTGGCTCTTTAAGGCGTTCTTTGTATATTATTATATATATATATATATATATATATATATATATATATATATGGAGAGGCTAAGATAGATATGAACAGATTGCGATAGTCGGAGTGAAAGATCGGTAGATAGAATAAAAAAGATAGTAAAGAATAAGAAAACCATTGAAAAGGAAATAAACGGCTTTAAACATTTTTTGTTCTTTTGCATTTACTAAAAAAAGATATATAAATAAATTATCATGGTAAAACGTTGCGCTATATCGAAAGGTTAATTTTGACAGTTTCCGAAGTATGAATGATTACATATGTTCCATAGGCAGCGGACTTAACTTTCCTTTGCTATTAATCATCTTTCTTTATTGCGAGAAAAACAACTTGTTTTACAAAATCATATTCAAATTCCCGAATTAATTTAATCTATAAGTTTATAAATGTCTTTATTTCTCTTATATCGAAAGGTTAATTTTGACAGTTTCCGAAGTATGAATGATGACGTATGTTCCATAGGCAGCGGTCTTAAACTTTCCTTTGCTATTAATGATCTTTCCTTATTGCGAGAAAAGCTTATTTTACAAAATCAAAGTCTGAGTTGTAAATTAATCTCATCTATATGTTTATAACAAAATGTCTTATTGTTAAGATTCAAATTAACACCTCATTCTTCATATAACTCCAATTTAATCTGATAAGGTTAATATCGGGGTTTAAACCTCTTCATTTTAAGGCTAATACTTTCCACCTTCCCCTAATCACCGTTAACTAACAACACTGTGATGAAGCTAGTTTGCATTGGATAATATAATAATACAAAGTAATTCTGAGAGAATTAAAACATACAACAGCAGTTCCTACCTTTGCAACCGCAAATTCGGCAGCCCCTGGCATCAGTTAAGTATCCGTAAATACATTTCTTGGAGCACTCATGAGGCGGACACACGTTGCATTTGCAGCGGAAGCAGCCGTGACGGGTGCGTTTGTAGCCGTACGTGCATCGGCGTTTGCACGTGGACAGGAGAGGGCATTTGTGTACGTGTTTGGCGCATTCACAGATTTCTCTGTTCTGTGAGTCCGTCGCATAGCCATACTTGCAAGAAAATGAGCAGTTGTCTACAAAGGACACACGGAAGCGACTGTTAGTGTTAGTAGAACCAGACAAAAACATGACAGCATTTTCAGTGAAAGAAAAAAAAAAAGGTAATAGAATTACATATCAAACGAAAAATACTTCAGACAAGTGCACCAATGATGAAAGCGACTGTGAACACTTTTATTACTTATCATTCGGTCGAGCTAGCTTAGACATTCATGATTCTATCATGCCAAGGTCAGATGGTAATTAGGTAGGCATTCTGTGTCATAACATAACTGGTCAATGTAAGTTGTTGTTGGGTGACCAACCCGTCTTCCGCCGTGGCTAGGTGTCCAGGTCAGTACATTACTCGCGAATTTTGTGTCCTGCAAAGCGTATTCTGAATTCGCGTAAGCTTATAGACACATCAGGGATAGGTCCATAGAACTGTGATTTAGTAGGATGCTGTCTCCAAGAAATGTTCAGTATAGCTCTCAGCATCCGTGTGTAGGTTCCATCAAGCCAAGGGTTTTAGCTAATATCCCAGCAGTCGAATCATACCTTAAAATCAACTCTACAGTGGCGCGAAAGGATGTCAGACAGATCAGATTTCCAGATTACATCCATTTTTAATCAAGTCGGCCCAGGCTTTAGCTATGAGGAGTTTCACATCTTTTTCAGTCGAATTTATTTCACTTCCTAGGTATATAAAAGATTCACATATTTTTTATTGATTCTCCTGAGACAGTTCGTATTGAACCTTTCAGATGGCGTCGCTGTCACTGCAGACGCCATTACCAATGCCACAGTTCTCCTACATCATTGACTAGGCTATAGTCGCACGGACAATCCTAACTGTAGAATTTAATGTACTTGATGATAAGAATGCCGCAGTACGAAATAAGAACTAGACGAGATATCTCTATCCAGGGTCAGCAAAAAGAAAACAATATATCACGTCGAATAAATAAAAAAAATGTTCTGTTCGACGACTACCGGGGTTGGCAAACACCTGATGATTGTAGGTTCGATCACACACAGACCCAAATGTTTTAGTCAATGTCCAGTCAGTGGTACCATACATTATGAGTCAACCCCCATAAATGATTACACTAAAGGTAGTAAGTACCTTTCAAGTCAACTGTCTTCGAGAGACTTGGGGAAGAATGAGAGAGAGAAGACACAAGCATGTCCGACCTTCCAATTAGTGGCACTCACTACTAGATTGACCCGTGTGTATAACTGGACCGTATTTCATATTGTGCTTGTTGTGTACAATAAACCTTTCTTCTAGTATCCACCTGGTGTTAAGTATTTATTCCCTTATCACGGAATATAACACATTAAAACCGTCACTACTATGGCATGAAAGAAGTTCCGCTTGAGGCTGTCTGGTAGATCAGACTTCCAGATTACATCCATTTTTAATCAAGTCGGTCCAGGCTTTAGCTATGAGGATTTTCACATCCTTTTCAGTCGAATTTATTTCACTTCCTAGGTATGTAATAGAGTCTGCAGATTTTATTGATTGAACTAAGACAGTTTGTATTGAGCCTTGCTGGTTGAAGCCTGTGAATTCAGTTTTAGAGACATTGACATCGAGACCAGCATCGTTATAAGTATTTTCTAGATGATGTAGGAGAACTGTGGCATTGGTAACAGTGTCTGCAATCATAGCTAGGTCATCTTTTACTCTGACGAAAGTCATGAAAGAACACTTTAGATATCCAAAAATCAGAGATCAGTGATCAAACCAAGGCAGATATCATAATTTCGAATGTAGATTCTCAAGGCATCGTCTATTATTCTGTTGTAACCTAGGGAAGGTTACTAAATAGAATAATCAAACGAAGGTTGGTAATAAACAATGATACTTAAAACAAAAACAACGCATATAAGATTCGCCAGCGGCGCGTAGAAGAAGTAGTCAACTGCTAGAAGTGAGTTAAGTGAATTCCACAATCAATCTCTGCAGGAGATCTACCAACCTCCCCACGCGGTCAGATGTGGCACAAGGCCGAATTTAATGTGAATTACCCGAGCAGAAGGCTCGACCAAAAATTCACCGTAGACCCCGGAGTCGGGTAGCAGTTTTCCAAGACGATACTCTGCCCTTCGATATAGCCCCCGTCTGAGGATCCTCTCTGTCCGGAGGCAGAGTGTTTGACCAGCACAGCTGGAGACGAATCTTCAACTACAGGATATCTACCAAACGCCCCACGCGGTCAGATGTGGCACAAGACCGAATTTATTGTAGGGGTATCCAAGTTCAGAACCTCGGCCAAAAATTCCCCGTAGACCACATATAAAACGTGGTCGGGTAGCTGTTTCCCGAGACGTGACTTTGCCCTTCAACATAGTCTCGTCTGGGAATCCTCTTTGCCCAGAGGCAGAGAGTTTGACCAGAACAGCTGAAGACGAATCTCCAACTGCAGACCAACATACAGTATTTACTACTATATTTATGTGAATGGGGACATACCCATTATCATCCGTCGATATGCTACAAGAAATTGGAAGAGGCATTACCATTCCAAGAGTTGTTCCAACAACTGATCTCATTTTTCTTGTCGCTTTTGTTTATTCTGCAATATTTCGGTCAATTCGTTCTACACATTAAAGGTTCCTTCTGTAATTTTAAAATTGATTTGTTTTTTTACTGTTTATCTACTTTTTTCAGCTTATTTGAAGCCATAAAATATTTTAGATTACAAGAAATCTGTGGAGATAATAATGATTTTTACTGATACAAATTCTACTAATTAACCCATAGTGGGGGAAAGACGTGGATTCACACCTTTCCCCAAGAATATTTATTCTTAAGTGAATATAACGAACCCAACTAAAAACTCAGCTCTTCGATTTACAATTTCGAGCCGTTATGCATTATACCAGCCGCATATCCAAGCTTACAAAATCTGATATTAATAATCGGTCACCCATCTAGGCACTGACCAGGCTCGGCGTTGCTTAACTTCGTTGATCGGATGTGTTTCAAATCGATATGGCCGTAGGTATGTTATTTCAATTATTACATCAAGATTTGTTCGGACCATTGATATTCTTGTTTCTTTTGCTTCGGCCGACTCATTCTACGGCCCCTAAAATACCTTCTATAATGTTAATAATAATAATAATAATTATTATTATTATTTAACAACATGATTGACGTAACTCTTCCAGTTTTTTGCAACAGTTAGATAAGAGGGCGATTAAAAAAGAAAAAGGAAAAAAAGACTTTGACAATGTTTAGCAATATTTCGACATTATGTCTGTCTTCTTCATATTATGTTTAAAAATTGCACACAATGTCTAATTTAAGATAGTTTAATTATATTTTAATTAATTAGAAATGTCTAACTTAAGATATTCGTCAAAATTACAGTCATTTCGACAAACATCTGAAGGTGCTAATTCTAAAAAAATATCCAGAATCCAGTAATATTTTGTTATATAGGAATAAAATGTCGCTGCCGACACTTAAGTTTGAACATAGATCGTGAGATAGTTAACACAGGCGATCCCATTATTGAATTAAGTGGATCACGTGACCATAGAGGAAATGCATATGTAGGAAGTCGCGTGACGCCTAAATGATCTCTATCTCTAATTCTATTACTATACGGACCGACGATCGAGAGGAGATGGGTAAGTTCTTTTAGTGAATGAACAAATTGTAATGAATGAATGGGTCGCGAATCTGATTAACTAGGACTAGGATAGTTAATGAAGACCAGTCCCGCCTTTGTTTTCTCCACTCACCGGTTTTCTGCTACAATTCTTTATATCACAGAATAAATAGTCTATTACTATAAGGGCCGCCATTCTCTATTCTATTCAGTACACTATTTCTCTATTCGGATCACTGTACGGATTACTATTCGAGCGAGTAATATCGAGAAAGTACTATTAGTGCGAGTGATATTCGAAGGCGTCTGACACTAGTATTGTTCAACGGCGTTACTATAGTTGTATATCTGATTACAAAGTCTCGACGACAACGAGCATTACGAAAGTGACAACAAGTATTCGTTGACATTACAAATGTGTCAAATGAGTGTTCGCTGACATCACAAAATTTTTCAACCTTTATAACGGTTGAAGATAATTAAGTTAACAGTATGAAAATAGCGTTCTCTAAATTCTTCCAATTACTAAGGACATTTTGTTTTGTTATTATTAGTTATTTTCTTTAATAAATTCATTTCGTTTTTGCTTTGAGAAAGTCCACATTGGACGAAACGCGTCGGTTACCATTACAATTTTCCTATTGTCTTTTGTATTTATGAAGATTATCTTTTTCTACAGGTTAACTCTGAGAAATTTTTCATAATTACATATGCAAACTACTATCGTCCCACCCAAGGGAAAAGAAAAAACGACAGGAGAGTTCCATAAATGTTATACTGAACTGTTTTAATAATTGCACTCACTAACAAAATGAGCACGTTTCCCATCATGTTACTTACGTTTTAGTTGCATTCTATTAACGCTCCCTGCATTTCGTTCGATTTGTCGCGTTAGTTACTTGTACAACTGTTCTTTTCAAGTCAATGACGTTTATACAGAGGCTTGTATTTTTTTTATATATTTTTAAATAATTGTATGCAATTTTTAAACATAACTTGAATACAGACATACTGTCGAAATATTGTTAAAAACTGTCGTCTTTTTCCTTTCTTAAATCGCGCTCTTTTCTAAGTGTTGTATTATTATTATTATTGTTTGTGCGTTATGTTTTCTGCTTTGTATCCTGTCGAGCCGGGTTCAAACTATGGTCCTTAGGCACTTTCAGTTCCTTATGAAGTTCCATTTAACTGATAGCACTTTTCTTAGTATATGGGATGTTTTTAGTATAGCGATCTTTTGGGCAACTTGTATGTTGATGTTACCTGGGACACTGTTGCTAAAATTGTCCATTCCTTTTCTCATGAGGCCCAGAGCTCCGATTACTATTGGTACAGTTTCAGTCTTCATTCCCCACATCCTGTTAATCTCGCTCTCCGGGTCCTTGTATTTGGACAATTTCTCGATAATT